GATCGCGCCGAAGCCGCAGCGGGGCCGGGGCCTGACCGTGCCGGACACCGGGGGCTCCGGGTCGCACCGGGGCGGGGAGCGGCCGCTCATCGCCACCGGGGATGCAGGTAGGAACCGGCAATCCCTTGCCTGGGCCCTCATCCTCCCTCCTCTCGGTCCCCCCGGGCTTTCTCCCCCTCCATTCGAGGTGGAAGCTCATACCCCGGCTCAAAGGTGACCCCCCCCCCCAGCCCACCCACCCCGACTCCAAACAGCCTCGGGGCTTCGTCCCCCAACATTTGGGACTGAGCCAAAAGCCGCTCTCGCACCCCCAAAGAACTCTGGGGGTTCTTTGTCACCCTCCCTTTTTCTGGGTTTCCAGCTCCAACCCCTCCAAAGGACAGTATTTCCTCTTGAAGCAGAGAAAAACTGTCTTGGAAACGTGTGGAAGCAGATAAACCGGGGTAGAAGCGAGAATATAAAATCAGGATAAAGTAATATAAATTCAGAAGGTATCTCGTGGCCTAGGAAATCTTTAGGAGCAAGAAAAATACCAGATTTTTCCTGTTTTTACTGTGAATCTTGTTGTAGGAGAGTTGCACTGATGGGAGAATAAAATAACTTTTAGATGGTTCTAGACAAAATACACTGCTCATTTCTTTCACTTTTATTTTCCCCGTAGCTTATTGCTAAAAATGAATCTGAAAGACAGTTTGCACTGCTGCCAAGTCTGCTCAGAGTTTATTCTGGAGTCCCACTGGTTTCCTTGTGCAGTGTCATGGAGCTGAGTGCTTTGCAGAGACAACCAGCAGCCACCAAATTGTCCTTCTGCTGAGGGAAAGCCCTCACCAACCTGCTGCTACTCCCAGGGAAGCACTTTTCCCTGGAGGGATGCAGTGCATTCCTCCTGCCTCCCATTCTCCTGGCTTTGGGAACATCAGCTTTGCATTTAAGATGTTTCCAACCCTCACCACTGTGATATTCTTCACCTCTGATTTTTGGGGCACTCAGCTTGTCTACCCAGCACACACAGTCGAGGGGTGGCTGTTTTAACCACCTCCAAAAACCTGCCTGAAGTGCTCAGAGTTGGCAACTGCTTTAGAAAATACCATTTGCCAGCAAAATTGTTAGTTTTTCCATGGCTGAAGCTGAGAAATTCACATTAACAGATTTTTAAGGGAAAACATTATGTGCTTGGCTGCCAATAATATTCAAGATTTAAATGGGGTTGGAAACAGGATCTGAGATCCCTTGTGGCTCATGAGCTGTGGCTGAGAGAGAAAAATGATTGTTGAGAGGCTGGAGCTTGATGGCTGGTCAACAAGAGGGGTGGGATGGCCATTTCCCCTCATGCCCAAATGATGACTGGGGATAAAGCTGGAGATCTCCCTTCATGCAGGGTTTTAAAGACAAAATCAAAGCACTGTTGCCAGCTTGATTTCTCAACTCTAAAGGATTGAAATGCTGTCCTAAAACCCCAGGCATCCAACGAGATGGAACTGGGAGCACAGGCACTGCAGGCTCTGCCAGTCTTTGGCTCCATCTCCTGCTTCCCTGCAGCCCACGGAGCAGTGAGGATGGATAATCTCCTTCCAGAGCCTGAAGGAGGGCAGGTTCCTCTGCTGAAGAGCTGGAGAAAGAGAGGGGAATCTGAGCTGGGCAAACAGAGACTCATCTTGGGGCTGGGACAATGTATGGAAGAGCTGCAGACAGCACAGCACCCTGCTATGAGAAAACAGCTGGAAAATGTTGGAGCAGGCATCTCCAAAGCAAAGGCAGGGCCAGAGCTGGGAACTGACCCCACTGATGCATCTGATCTTTTTTCCCCCCAGGGCAAAGTGGCCATCAGCTCTTCCAGCCCTGTTGTGGCAGCTTCCTTACCATCCCCATCCCAGGCCAGACAGCCACTCGTCAGCACCGGGGAGATCTTCAAGCTTCCAGGCAGGCTGAGTGAGTAAAGTTGAGCAAGTCAAAGCTGCTTACAAAAGGACAGGGTGGGATATGGTGGGTGCAGCCACAGTGTCCCACCCAGGGACCATTCCCCGCTGGCAAGAGGGACAAAGTGTCATCAGGGTCTATTTTCTCTCACTGGGGTGTTTTTGATCTGTGAGTGCTTAAGACAGAGGGAGAATTTGGTGGTGGAGAAGAAATCCCACCCCGCCCCTCAGCAGTTCTGAGGATGAAGATAGAGCTGTTTCAGAGGTTGCTCCTGATTTCAGGAATCCAGCCCTCACTGTGGAGCAAGGATGACGTGATCCACTGGCTCAGATGGGCTGAGAGGGAATATTCCCTTCGGCAAACCGACGACAGCAAGTTCGAGATGAACGGCAAAGCCCTGTGCATCCTCACCAAGGAGGACTTCAGACACAGAGCTCCCAGCTCAGGTTAGACCCAGGGCAAGGGGGTTTCAAGGATCATCCAAGCACAACCTGAGAGGGGCTGGATGGGTCCCAGCAGACCAGGCTTTAGCACTTTGGTGCTGGAGACAAGGACAATCCTCTTCCTTCCTTTACTCCACCTGCACTGCAAAAGGTTTGGGGTGGGGAATAACCTTGTTATTATGTTTTATGTTATGTTATGTTATGTTATGTTATGTTATGTTATAACCTCAGCAGCATCACCTTGAGAGAGACTGTTATCCAAAGTCCTCTGAGCAGAGTTTCCTTCCCTGTAGGTGATGTGCTGTATGAAATACTCTGCTTCATCAAGACTCAAAGAAGAGCTCTGATGTGCAGCCCTTTGCTGAACTCACCCTTTGGGAAGCCCAGGAGCACGGAGGAAGGTAGGATGGAGAACAGCAGCTGCCCAGCAAGCAGAACCTGCTCCAGTGGGTTGCAGACATCTGGGGTTTGGAGCTGAACCCATCCCACACCACCTGAGAGAGGCAGCCAGGTCCAACAAATTCCCACTGGGAAGGTTGTAGTGATGAAAGAGGTCTGGTCAGAATCAGACCCAAGCAGCACCAGAGGCAGGGGGGGCCCAGGTAGGGGTTGAGGTGGGGGGAGGTTGGTATCTGTGTCTGTCTGTGTGTGGAGGTGGATCCTGAGCACTTCTGCTGGCTGATGTAAAGTAATGAACATCTTAAGTCTCCACAACAATTTGCCAGGGGGTGCCAGTGCTCTGGTGCATCCTCCTGTTCCAGTTTTGCCTCTGTACCTGACCCTTACCCTGCTTGGCATCTCCTCTGACCCTCCTGGACTTTCTGCTGCTCCCGCCTTAGGAAAATCCCAGGCTTTCCTCAGCACCCTCCTCCTCTGCTAGGGCTCTGCCAGGCTGATAACCACCTTGGGCTGCCCCTCCCCTCCTGTTTCACGGCTTTGGAAGATCTGGTACCTGCCCTGATGTGCCACAGGGTGTTTATTTGGCTTTTTTTTTTTTTTTTTAATTATTATTTCCAGGGACAGACTGCAGTGCTGAGGCTTCCCCAGTTGTTCCCTCATGGCTGGGCTGTGCAGAGCAGCCTGTGTTCCACAGCCATGTGGAGCCACTGAACCTGTCCCATCACAGCTCAGAGAGTGGCTGCAGGGCAGGTGCCATCTGCTCCTTGCCCACAACCCCGTCAGCCCCGCTGGATGGGAAAATGGCAGGTAATTATGAATTTATAGCCTGGCTCCTTGGGGAAATGACAGATGCTTTGTCCTGTCTGCCCAGCTGTCTCTCTCCCTCCCTTTTATTTCGTGCTTCCCCACCTCAGTTTCCCCCCTCCCACCCTATAGTTCAGGCTCGTGCTTTGAGATCTCGCAGTGAAAGTGCTCTGGGCTCTTCTTCCATTTACTGTCACCGCTGCCACGTGCAGTCCCGTTGCTGATACACCCCTGCTGGAGCCACAGTGGGAGCTCTGTGACCATTTATCCCCCTCCCCACTGCTCAGACTGCAGGTTGCTGTGGGAATACGTGTACCA